CTCTGCATTCCTCTCTTCTCCAGGTGCATACACGCTTATTATGACCCACTTCTCGCATCCAACCTTTACTTTAATCCACATAATTCTTGAATTTACACATTCATATTCTCTTTTCTCCTTCCATAACTGATCATTTAACATTACTGCTACCCCTTCCTTTGCTCTAACTCTCTCAGATACTCCAGATTTAATCCCATTTATTTCCCCCCACTGAAACTCTCCTACCCCCTTCAGCTTTGTTTTGCTTAGGGCCAGGACATCCAACTTCTTTTCATTCATAACATCAGCAATCATCTGTTTCTTGTCATCCGCACTACATCCACGCACATTTAAGCATCCCAGTTTTATAAAGTTTTTCTTCTTCTCTTTTTTAGTAAATGTCTACAGGAGAAGGGGTTACTAGCCCATTGCTCCCGGCATTTTAGTCGCCTCATACGACACGCATGGCTTACGGAGGAAAAATTCTTTTCCACTTCCCCATGGACAATAGAAGAAATAAAGAAGAACAAGAGCTATTTAGAAAAAGGAGAAAAACCTAGATGTATGTATATATATATGCATGTGCGTGTCTGTGAAGTGTGACCAAAGTGTAAGTAGGAGTAGCAAGATATCCCTGTTATCTAGCGTGTTTATGAGACAGAAAAAGAAACCAGCAATCCTATCATCATGCAAAACAGTTACAGGTTTTTGTTTCACAGTCATCTGGCAGGACGGTAGTACTTCCCTGGGTGGTTGCTGTCTACCAACCTACTACCTAATTTTATTTTTATATCCGGTTATTTTTATATAGCCGGACTTGAGTCCTGGAAATGGGAAGTACAATGCCTGCACTTTAAAGGAGGGGTTTGGGATATTGGCAGTTTGGAGGGATATGTTGTGTATCTTTATACATACATATATGTATATGCTTCTAAACTGTTGTATTCTGAGCACCTCTGCAAAAACAGTGATTATGTGTGAGTGAGGTGAAAGTGTTGAATGATGATGAAAGTCTTTTCTTTTTAGGGATTTTCTTTCTTTTTGGGTCACCCTGCCTCGGTGGGAGACAGCTGACTTGTTAAAAAAAAAAAGCAGGGAATCCTCCTGAAAATAGTAAACCCTGCCATCACATAGTCTCTCCTGTTATACTACACAAAGCACATTACAGAGTGTGAACACTGAACAGGCCTTCTCTATCCAGTCTGTTTATGTCCAACCTATTTTTATGTTACCCAAGTAATAGCTTTTATATCCTTTTACTCATGTACGAATTAATTGCTCTACCATATTGTATTACTACTACAACTTTTGTTACTACTACTATTACTACTACCACTAGTGAACATCGAACTGGTACCTCCCTAGTATTGCACCTCACTCTGAGCCTTTATATACCCTCTGTGTCCATATACTGTTTGTATCGGCTTGACAAAGCTCCTGGAGAGCGAAACGTTTCCACAATAAAATGTCACATTAGTTGCACTTGTGTCCTTTTACTTTACATATTGTCGGTAATTCTACCAACATTATTACAAGACAGTAATTAAATGAATGATGATATACACGTTTCCTCATTTTTTGGGTCACCGTACGTTGATGGGAGACAGTTGGTACATTAAAAACAATCCTTTGTGATGAAAATATGGCAGGAAAAGAGGGAATACAAATGTATAAATTCAAGGATTATGTGGAGTAAAATAAAGATTGGATGTGAAAAGTGGGTTATAGTAAGCGTGTATGCACCTGGAGAAGAGAGAAGTGTAGAGGAGAGAGAGGGATTCTGGGAAATGTTGAGTGAATGCGTGGGGAGTTTTGAATCAAGTGTGAGAGTAATGGTGGTTGGGGATTTCAATGCTAAAGTGGGTAAAAATGATATGGAGGGAGTAGTAGGTAATTTTGGGGTGCCAGGGGTAAATGTAAATAGGGAGCCTTTAGTTGAGCTATGTGTAGAAAGAAATTTGGTAATAAGTAATACATATTTTATGAAAAAGAGGATAAATAAATATACAAGGTATGATGTAGCACGTAATGAAAGTAGTTTGTTAGATTATGTATTGGTGGATAAAAGGTTGATGGGTAGGCTCCAGGATGTACATGTTTATAGAGGGGCAACTGATATATCGGATCATTATTTAGTTGTAGCTACAGTTAGAGTAAGAGGTAGATGGGAAAAGAGGAAGGTGGCAACAACAAGTAAGAGGGAGGTGAAAGTGTATAAACTAAGGGAGGAGGAAGTTCGGGCGAGATATAAGCGACTATTGGCAGAAAGGTGGGCTAGTGCAAAGATGAGTAGTGGGGGGGTTGAAGAGGGTTGGAATAGTTTTAAAAATGCAGTATTAGAATGTGGGGCAGAAGTTTGTGGTTATAGGAGGGTGGGGGCAGGAGGAAAGAGGAGTGATTGGTGGACTGATGAAGTAAAGGGTGTGATAAGAGAGAAAAAGGTAGCTTACGAGAGGTTTTTACAAAGCAGAAGTGTTATAATTATTATTATAATCAAGGGGGAAGCGCTAAACCCGGAGGATTATACAGCGCCTTGGGGGGGATGTGGAAGGCATTCAGGCTTAATTTGGGGAACTGGAGCACAGATCCAATTCCCTAAATCAAGAGCCCCTCACCAACATCAAGGAACCTTCCTTGAGGGGAGAAGTGTTATAAGAAGAGCAGAGTATATGGAGAGTAAAAGAAAGGTGAAGAGAGTGGTGAGAGAGTGCAAAAGGAGAGCAGATGAAAGAGTGGGAGAGGCACTGTCAAGAAATTTTAATGAAAATAAGAAAAAATTTTGGAGTGAGTTAAACAAGTTAAGAAAGCCTAGGGAAAGTATGGATTTGTCAGTTAAAAACAGAGTAGGGGAGTTAGTAGATAGGGAGAGGGAGGTATTAGGTAGATGGCGAGAATATTTTGAGGAACTTTTAAATGTTAAGGAAGAAAGGGAGGCGGTAATTTCATGCACTGGCCAGGGAGGTATACCATCTTTTAGGAGTGAAGAAGAGCAGAATGTAAGTGTGGTGGAGGTACGTGAGGCATTACGTAGAATGAAAGGGGGTAAAGCAGCTGGAACTGATGGGATCATGACAGAAATGTTAAAAGCAGGGGGGATATAGTGTTGGAGTGGTTGGTACTTTTGTTTAATAAATGTATGAAAGAAGGGAAGGTACCTAGGATTGGCGGAGAGCATGTATAGTCCCTTTATATAAAGGGAAAGGGGACAAAAGAGATTGTAAAAATTATAGAGGAATAAGTTTACTGAGTATACCAGGAAAAGTATACGGTAGGGTTATAATTGAAAGAATTAGAGGTAAGACAGAATGTAGAATTGCGGACGAGCAAGGAGGCTTCAGAGTGGGTAGGGGATGTGTAGATCAAGTGTTTACATTGAAGCATATATGTGAACAGTATTTAGATAAAGGTAGGGAAGTTTTTATTGCATTTATGGATTTAGAAAAGGCATATGATAGAGTGGATAGAGGAGCAATGTGGCAGATGTTGCAAGTATATGGAATAGGTGGTAAGTTACTAAATGCTGTAAAGAGCTTTTATGAGGATAGTGAGGCTCAGGTTAGGGTGTGTAGAAGAGAGGGAGAATATTTCCCGGTAAAAGTAGGTCTTAGACAGGGATGTGTAATGTCACCATGGTTGTTTAATATATTTATAGATGGGGTTGTAAAAGAAGTAAATGCTAGGGTGTTCGGGAGAGGGGTGGGATTAAATTATGGGGAATCAAATTCAAAATGGGAATTGACACAGTTACTTTTTGCTGATGATACTGTGCTTATGGGAGATTCTAAAGAAAAATTACAAAAGTTAGTGGATGAGTTTGAGAATGTGTGTAAAGGTAGAAAGTTGAAAGTGAACATAGAAAAGAGTAAGGTGATGAGGGTATCAAATGATTTAGGTAAAGAAAAATTGGATATCAAATTGGGGAGGAGGAGTATGGAAGAAGTGAATGTTTTCAGATACTTGGGAGTTGACGTGTCGGCGGATGGATTTATGAAGGATGAGGTTAATCATAGAATTGATGAGGGAAAAAAGGTGAGTGGTGCGTTGAGGTATATTATTTTATTTTTTTTTATTATCACACCGGCCGATTCCCACCAAGGCATATGTGGTATATGTGGAGTCAAAAAACGTTATCTATGGAGGCAAAGAAGGGAATGTATGAAAGTATAGTAGTACCAACACTCTTATATGGATGTGAAGCTTGGGTGGTAAATGCAGCAGCGAGGAGACGGTTGGAGGCAGTGGAGATGTCCTGTCTAAGGGCAATGTGTGGTGTAAATATTATGCAGAAAATTCGGAGTGTGGAAATTAGGAGAAGGTGTGGAGTTAATAAAAGCATTAGTCAGAGGGCAGAAGAGGGGTTGTTGAGGTGGTTTGGTCATTTAGAGAGAATGGATCAAAGTAGAATGACATGGAAAGCATATAAATCTATAGGGGAAGGAAAGAGGGGTAGGGGTCGTCCTCGAAAGGGTTGGAAAGAGGGGGTAAAGGAGGTTTTGTGGGTGAGGGGCTTGGACTTCCAGCAAGCGTGCATGAGCGTGTTAGATAGGAGTGAATGGAGACGAATGATACTTGGGACCTGACGATCTGTTGGAGTGTGAGCAGGGTAATATTTAGTGAAGGGATTCAGGGAAACCAGTTATTTTCATATAGTCGGACTCGAGTCCTGGAAATGGGAAGTACAATGCCTGCACTTTAAAGGAGGGGTTTGGGATATTGGCAGTTTGGAGGGATATGTTGTGTATCTCTATACGTATATGCTTCTAAGCTGTTGTATTCTGAGCACCTCTGCAAAAGCAGTGATAATGTGTGAGTGTGGTGAAAGTGTTGAATGATGATGAAAGTATTTTCTTTTTGGGGATTTTCTTTCTTTTTTTTGGGTCACCCTGCCTCGGTGGGAGACGGCCGACTTGTTGAAAAAAAAAAAAAAAAAATACAGAATATCTTACATTATACTATATGTTCTTAATACACTGATATACAATTATCCTCAAAAAACAAAACAAAAGAAAAAAAAAAAACAGTTGTCACATAGTCTTTTTTATTTTGTTTAATTACAATATGTTGGACAACTTGCTAAATCAAAACTGTATATCCTATAAAACTATTTACATATTCTTGAACTTTCCATCTTCAAAATAATAAACTGGGGCACCACTGCACTGTTAACAATTAGAACTTCCAGCTGCCAATCTGAAGCTCATTAAAGTCAAAATTCTGGTAAAATGTATTATAACAGTTCATGTTTTGTCCCACAATAAACACACCATAATAGATAATGATATGCTTCTACTACAAAAAATTAAATATGCAGTTTGTGGAAGCAGCTTCTAATCATATATAATCATGATTTTGCTCTTGACTGAAGCTTTTCTCCACTTATCTCACTGCAGAATACAGCAACAAATGCAAGCCCAGACAGTGATCAAACAGAATACAGAAATGAAATTTTCTATCATTCTCACCTCCAAGAAACTTGACTTTTTTTTTTCTTTCTTTCAACACACTGGCCGTATCCCACCGAGATGGGGTGGCCCAAAAGGAAAAACGAAAGTTTCTCCTTTTACATTTAGTAATATATACAGGAGAAGAGGTTACTAGCCCCTTGCTCCCACTTTTTTTTTTAAAGTCACTAAATTAAGTAAGACTTAATTATTCATTTCTGTATTATGGTAAATCAGTTTTACAGTAAAACTGCATGGAACTTAATTGATTCAAGGTTACTTAAGCACCATTATATTAACATAAATACAATCTGGATATGTTTCCCATAAATTATTTTCAATACATTTCTTTTTTCTTCTTTACTGGTAGGCCTCTTATTTTACAATCATAGTACAACTGTAACAATTATATGCACAAATAAAATCATAACACTACAATAAACACCCTCACCAATGTCTCTCCACAAGGTAATGTCGAACTGATGGCAATCCAGGGCTCATATTTGCTCTTAGTCTTGAAAAAAAATGTTTATGCTCCTCATAATTGTTCTTGACCTTGCAATGTTGTTAAAGCCCCTCATAATTGCTATTTGTCTTCAAATACAGTGTTACAGCTCCTCATTGATGAATTTTTAAAGTGAGGTCTGCCAGTTTCTCAATCATTAGTAACCTTGGACAGCAACATGTTTACATTAACTTGGACTTTCACATGGCTAAAAATGTGAATTTCAAGTACAGCACAAACAGGTTATATATCATAAACTCTCAGTAAATTATTAGCAAACAACTTCTTAAGTTCTGGAAATACAAAAACTGAGACTAATCTGAGTAAACTTAATTTACCCACTTTCTTCTGTAGCAAACCTTGAAACAACCATGGAATAACCTTTATTGATCCATTTAATCTTGCATTTTCCCTGCCATTAGAAAGATCATATGAGAAAAATTTCCCTGTCACATATTAGAGAGAGAGTACACATACACCTCTCTTTTGATGTGCCATGCAGAAAGCATAGACATTTATTACACACTATTATTAACATGTTACACTGAGAGCTTATCAAGCAAATACAAACAAATCCATACAGTAAAGACTTGTTTAGCATTTTTCTCTGGTGGGCATATTTTTTAAGACAATTTCTAATATTTTCCAAAATTTCCTCAGCGATTTTTGTTTTTCAGATCGCAATGGAAATTTGAAAAAATCAAGTTTCACCCACTTGGCCTGCAACTTTATTTGCTGTCCTCTGCTACCTACCAGTCAGCTGGTGGCCAGCATTTCTTGAAGAACTTACACTTCTCTACCAATGACAAATATTTTCATGGCCATCTCACTTTTCTACATTATACTAATATTAACCATTGTATCCAAGAAGGTTGTTTGTGATACAGGGAGTCAAAATAAAACAAAACTGTGACAATAATAAGGAAAATAACTAGAGATGATTATTTTTACACATGCAAAACAAACCTTTGAAAGCTAGATGTTTTCCATGAATATGGTGCTGTATACGACTTGAAGATACATACATTTACAATGAATGTGAAAGTGTAATTCCCTGCTGTATTTGTGTTTATCTATTTGAATTTGTTATGGTAAACTCTAGTTCTAGGTCCCACCTCTTAAACTTCAACTTACTGAAGTGAAATATTTATTTGCCATATCTATTTTTAAACTGCTGTAGGAAGTCTGCTCCCACTTTGTCATTGCTCAGCTCGTACCACTTCTTTTTTTGTTTATTGGGTGTCCCAAGTTTTTGTTGGTTTTCAGTTGAGCAGTGTTCATTATGTTTGATGCTTTTACCACTTTTCTGCCATTATTGCTGTTTTCGTACAACAGTCATGTAAGGAAAAGACAACCGGCACCATATTTTAAGTAATGTATATACTATGTATAATTTTTCATTGTCTTTTTTTTTATGCCTAGCTGCATTGAGCACTTATTATATGAGAGTGTAAACACATTATCAGGAGTTTTAGATGCATTTGAAAATGAAAAATAGCTCTTTTCCACTTGCCAGAGATTTTCGCTAAACGGTTGGGATTGTGAACCTTCTTAGAACCATACGAACGGGGCCCCTCCTGTATACATTGTGATAATATCCATTATTGTTTTTTGTTCCTTCAGTGACAGGGCATAGTTCTCACATTATTTCATGGATCACTGTCCTTCACTCAGGCATCAGTCATGATGCTTTGATGATCCTTTATTTTTTTTTTTTAAGTTTCACTTTATTTTATTAGTCACGATGCTACATACCTGTACAATCTTTACTGAAAAATGGGTTGCACAAATGAGGTGAAGTGTGTTTAGGACAAGCCTTTGCAGAAGTTCCTCACTGATATTCTTATGTTTGCAAACATTTTTTATGTGTACAGAATTTTGCAGATATTGCTAGTGACCGGATATTAAATTATCAGCACATCTGCAGCTCAACATGACAGACACGTTATGGGAATCTGTAAGCATTCTACAGATGATATATGGTTTACATGATTATATTAAATATGCCAGATAAATTGTGTAGTAAAATCTTTGAAAATGTACATTCACAATGGATATGAAAATTATAGGAAGACATGTCTACATGTATTAACCCGTAAACAGTCCAAGCAGATCTACGTTCACATGTGTAGTGCTACAAAAGTAGATCAAAGTTTTTTTTACACATTTTCTAATGTAAAAAAACAAAAAGAAGATCTACTTTTTTTTACATACTTTCAAATGTTGAAAAAACGTATATATACGTTTGGACAGTTTACGGGTTAATAGTGATGAGATGAACATTGTCAGTACAAAATGTTTTGAACATTGTGCACATATTCACAAGATGGTCTCAAATATATCGAGTACCCAATCATCAGGAGTTCACATATATGGTAAACTCTCTTATACAATTGATGAATAAAACACAGTTGCAACACTTGGGTATTTTTATTGCCGACATATTTTGCCTACACAACAGGCTTCCTCAGTTGAATACAAGTGAATATAGCACTGGAAGCAGTAGTAGAAGTTTTGATGTGAACTGTCAGTCACTGTTTGTGGGAGGTGATCAGTCCCTCAAGGTTTGAGGGACTGACCACTTCCTACCAAGAGTGACACACTCATCTTTTCAAAACTACTTCTATCACTTCCAGTGCTGTGTTCACCTGTACTGGACTGATGAAGTCTGTTATGCAGGCAAAACATTTTGGCAATAAAGATACCCAAGTGTTGCCAATGTGTCTTATTCATCAACTTGTCAGTATTGTATACCATCAATAATATGATACCTCTTATAAAGTGACACTACATAGCACAACTCTGTCTAAATGAGACTGAAAAAAGTGCATTTTTCTTAAATAACTAAACCTGTAAAAATTTGTATAAAGGTGGAAACAAGTGGTTTTCATAGCTTGAAATGATGTTAGTGTGTGTGTGAACAGGGCAACACTTATGAAGGAATTCAGGGGTAATGCATTAGCTGGACTTGAGTCCCGGAGGTGGGAAGTGCCTGAATTTGTAGGAAGGGGTGGGGATGTTACAGTTCGAGGATCCAATTGAACTGTGATGTGTCTGTCTGCACTTCTTACAAGACAGCTATTGAATGAGTTATGGTGAATGTGTTTTCTTTGTTTTTTTGGGGTCACCCTACATCAGTAGGAGATACTAAGTATTAATTAAATCAGTAATTAAATAATGCCATCAAGCTGATGAAAAAGACATGTGCAACACCTGGGTATCTTTCCTAGAACTTATTTTTCCCATATGTTCTTTAATATACATAACACTAATTTACATAATGTGCTAATTTTCATGAACATATCCCCAATTTAATGAGGGTTTACTGTACTAATTACCCAGACATTAATAAATAACATTCGCTACACTACTCAGCCACAAGAATGGATATAAACTGCATATTACTGTATTTAAAAATTACAGTCATTTGTTTTAGGTATTAATTTTAAGATTTTCTGGAACTCAACCCTGTATTTCCTATATTATACACTTAAGGAATTTATCAAACCAAACACGAGGGCTATCAGGAATGTTACTGTCACGTTAAGCAAAATTTTACTGAACATGAAGCAAAAATAGAATTAAATTGTCTTAAGTTTATTTTTTGACTGGTAGTAATAGACTGCAGAACATTCTTGCTTACATAATGTTCATCTCAAGAATGGTACTGAATTTATTTTTTTTTTTATTATCACACCGGCCGATTCCCACCAAGGCAGGGTGGCCCGAAAAAGAAAAACTTTCACCATCATTCACTCCATCACTGTCTTGCCAGAAGGGTGCTTTACACTACAGTTTTTAAACTGCAACATTAACACCCCTCCTTCAGAGTGCAGGCACTGTACTTCCCATCTCCAGGACTCAAGTCCGGCCTGCCGGTTTCCCTGAATCCCTTCATAAATGTTACTTTGCTCACACTCCAACAGCACGTCAAGTATTAAAAACCATTTGTCTCCATTCACTCCTATCAAACACGCTCAAGCATGCCTGCTGGAAGTCCAAGCCCCTCGCACACAAAACCTCCTTTACCCCCTCCCTCCAACCCTTCCTAGGCCGACCCCTACCCCGCCTTCCTTCCACTACAGACTGATACACTCTTGAAGTCATTCTGTTTCGCTCCATTCTCTCTACATGTCCGAACCACCATATATAACATGTCCACCACCATATATAACATAAACTTCTGTAATTCAGTGATGTGTGGTAAATGTTAAATAAAAAAATCCCTTGTTGCTTTACCAATAAGCTCTTCTTATAACAAAGGTAACCAGATTTTTTTTTTCAACACACAGGTCGTATCCCACCGAGGCAGGGCGACCTAAAAGGTAAAACAAAAATTTTCTTTTTAAATTTAGTACGTTATACAGAAAGGGATTACTAGCCCCTGGCTCCTGGCATTTTAGTTGCCTCTTATGACATGCATGGCTTATGAAGGAAGAATACTTTTTCCATTTCTCCATGGAGAAACAACCAGATAGTATAACCAGATCTACATAAATGTTTCTTGGAGGTGGGCCTTGCATTTAAAAAAAAAAATAACATAAGCTCTTCATATTTATTAAACTACGGTCATGGATACTTGACGATGAACTGAGTTTTCTAGCCTTCTTATTGGTACTCAATGCTTGCAACAAGCTTGGAAAAAAAACTGTGTATTTTTAATACACAGTATTATAAAATTTGCATGAAATATCAAAACATGTACATATAAATAAAATGGTGACACAAGTTTAAGAAAACAATCTTTCCTACTATATTTAGAAATAAGTGTGACAGCTGATAAGAACATTGTTCACTTATAGGTGCAGCTCCAACATGATGGCTGTGAGAGGCAGCCCCATCCAGCAGTCACTACCACCTCAGATGAGACTTGTTGAACAATATAAACCTGAAAAATATTAAATTAGCTTTCCTTTACCAAGAAATATAATTTATCTAATAAGATTAAGAGAAGTTAAAAAAATTAAAAGATAATATTTATGAAAATTTAATTATGCAAATGCATCAAAAATACTTTGAAACTAAGTAAAGAAGCAAAACAAAGCATTCAAATTATCAGTAAGATGCAAGGCACTCAAAAGTATAAGATAATATAATTAAAACAATTATTGTAAACAGGATCATAAGTTGAAAACCTAAATGCTTAGTTCAATATCATTAAGAATATTGTTATATTAAAATGTCATGTTGAGAATCATGCATATAATCTCTCATATATTATATGAGGCTGAGCTTTAGAGTTTATGTTATTATTATTATTATTATTATAATCAAAAAGAAGCATTAAACCACAAGGGGTCTTCAGAGTTTATGTAAAATGCTGTATCTTACAGATAATATTTTTATTTCAAATCTGTCCAGATATATAGACCTATATACAAAGCCACTGCCAGGAAGGATAATTCATATATAGTATCCTCAATTTAAAGAATAGATAAATTTGATTATAAAGCTAAAAAAAATGTTTTTTTTTTTTAATTTATAAATAACTGTTGTAAAAAAAAAAAGACAAGGTGTGTTGTAAAAAAAAAGTGAATGCTAGGGGTGTTGGAAAAAAAGGTGAATGCTAGGGGGTGTTGAAAAAAAAAAAAGAGGATGAATCAAACACAGAGTAGAAGTTGTTGAAGTGGCTTTGTGCCAACAATACTTTTAGGATATTTTCAAGATTAATTGCAAATGTTGGTGGATGAATTTAGAAGAGTATGTAAAAGAAGGAAATTAAAAGTAAATGTAGACAAGACCAAAGTGATGAGAGCAACAGAGTCTAGGCACTGAAAGATTTGATATATTGGAGGAAGAGAGTATGGAGGAAGTGAAAGTACTCAAATATTGGGGGCAGACATGTTGGCAGAACAGATGAAGTGAAGAAAAGGTAGGTGGTGCACTGAGGCATCTGTGGAAAGTTTATCTCTGGAGGCAAAAAAGGAAAATGTATCAGAGTATAGCAGTACTAACATTATTATATAGGTGTGAGGATGTGGCTAGAGGTAGTGATGTCATGTCTGAAGGTCATGTGTGGTGTGAATATTATACAGAGAATTTGGAATGTAGAATTTGAAGACAGTCACAAGGGGTATAATGAAGAGGAGTTGAAGGGGTTTGGGCAATTAGAGGGGGGAAAGGGATAAAATGACAAGGAGGGTTTATAAATCAGGTATGGAAGGAAAGAGGGGTAGGGGTAGTCCCAGGAAAGGTTGGAAGAAGTTAAGGAGGTTTCGAGTGGTAGGGACTTGAGCATCCAGCAGGCTTATTGAGCGTGTTAGATCGGAATGAGCTGAGACAACAGTTCTTTTAAAGTTGGCAGAAATACCGACAATATGTTAGGTAAAAGATCACTAAGTGCAACTACTGTGACATTTTATTGTGTAATGGCTTTATAAAGCTCCTGGAGAGTGAAATGTTGCCACAATAAAATGTCACATTAGTTGCACTTGTGTCCTTTTACCTAACGTTTTTTTAAAGTTTGCGTATAGTTAGGTGGACTCGAGTCCTGGAGGTAGGAAGGGCAGTGCCTGCATTCTGAAGGTGTGGGGATGCTGCAGTCAGAGGGTTATCTGAATTGTGATGCCAGCACACTTCTGGCAAGACAGTGACTGAATGAATGAATGACAGTAAAAGCATTTCTTTTTTTGGGGTCATCCTACCTTGGTGCAAGATGGCCAATAAGGTAAAATTAAAAAAAAAAAAAAAAAAAAAAAAAAAAAAAAAAAATGATGATAATATTAAAAAAAGAATTTAGGTAACTCAGATTACATACTGCAAATCTAAATTTATATTAAAATATTCTTAATAAACTTGTTCACTTTAAACAATAAGAAAAGCCATTAAACAATATCATGGCTTTATGACGTAGACTCACCACACAGTGCTGCTTAAGACCGCAGGTGTGGTTTCTTCAACTGTATGTATCTGTAATGTTTCAATGCAAACAAGCAGTTAATGAATCGACAGGACAAAAACTAAACACTTCTAGGTCCTAAGTTAGGATCATGTGAATTTCAGAAAATTAGACTAAGTTCACCACAATATTAATTTAGCCACCTAATGATGGGAAGCAAGTATACAGTACATTAAGTTACAACTACAATATTTAAAAAAGTTGGGGCAATATACATAAAAAACTTTTTTTTTTTTTCAACAAACCGGCCGTATCCCACCAAGGCAGGGTGGCCCAAAAAGAAAAACGAAAGTTTCTCTTTTTAAATTATGTAATTTATACGGGAGAAGGGGCTACTAGTCCCTTGCTCCCGGCATTTTAGTCGCCTCTTACAACACGCATGGCTTATGGAGGAAGAATTCTGTTCCACTTCCCCATGGAGAAAAAACAACATAACTACATGATATATATTTCCTAAGGAAATTTTTCATCAAACCTAAATTCTGACAAGTAGAGTACTGATATATTAGAAAACAAAATAAATCTCCTTGTTAAAAATTAAATATTAAATAATTTGAAAAAATCATCAGCAAGGAGTTTTAATATCTGAAAACACATTTAACAGTGTTGTCAATGTTAAAAGCACTAGATATGGTGGCCAGCTGGTTGATCAACTGAAGGAACCATCTAACACTGATAGAACTTAGCACTAGCTAAACACATTACATAACATTCTCATTCAATTAACATTAAAGCAAGAACCCTATCTTTATCTGATGCCAGACAAAATTAGTTCTCAAAGAAGTCACCAGGGATCTACACTGACCTCAAACAAAATATAAATTGAAGGAAGTCAGGAAGATAAAGAGGTTGAGTGAAGTGAGAAAAAAGAAGAGAGATAATTGGAGAAGGAAAGTTGAGACAAAAAGCATAAAGGAACAGCAAGAAGTTTCAATACATCATCAAACAATTATGAAACACAGGTTTAGCTAACATTTCAACTCGCTTATAGATATGAGGAACCTTTTGTACCATGCAATGGTGGGGATCCAGATTTAGCCCTCTCAAAATACTACAGGTAGAGTAGCAGTACCCATTATTCAACACCACTAAATTCACACCATATATGGTATATAAAATTCGTGTATTTTTTCTCTTAACTTTGTCTGATAGTTTTGAAATAATAATGAACCCAAGTTACCTCATACTAGATATTAGTAAGATTCCCTGGACTATTTTCCATACCCTCTCTTATCCTTTAAAGGTGCACAAACGGTATTTATTTTTTAAATATATTAGAGATATAAGACAATGAATTACAATTGTACTTGTTTAATAATATGATGAGTATCAGCAAGGTTTTCCCATAACAACAAATACTTTATTGCTCCATTGCCAATTACTTTGACTTTGTGCATACTGCCCCAACAAACATTTTTATATCACACACACTGATAATTCCTTGTTATGAAAGTTAAGAACACAATTGATGTATTTGAAATACTGTACAGTATATCAGTAGAAAATTTTCCTCAGAATATCTTACTCAGGCAGAAAAATCAAACTTGGCATTCTTCCATCTCAGGTGACTAAGTGGCTTAATTAAAAATCAAACACAATAAAAACAAGTGTATTACAAATATTAACAAATAAAAACAATGTTAATTATATAAATCTCAATCAAAAACCACAAAACCAAAATTATATAATACTGTACATATAAAATTGATTAATCAGTTATTAATAAAAATATCTATATCAATGTTAAATAACATGTTGGAGCATTCAAGTGTAATGAATATTTATTAATTAGAGGTGGCAACCCATGTAGATATAAAAGGAGGAGAATGGTTGTCTGTGCCCTTCAACATCTGTCCGAGGTCGAAATACAGACAACAATTCCCCTGCCTTTATCTCAATGTAGGCTATCCCCTTCAATTAAAAAACATGTTTTACATTAAAAATATTCTAAACTAAATTAGTAAATAACAGCTATCATTCAAAAGTTAAATTTAAATTTTCTCAAAAGAATAAAACTAATACACAAAATACCTGTACGTATACACTATATTAATACTGTAGTAATGACATCATCATTCACTGTAATAACCACAATCATATTAAAGTCATCAACTGTAGTTTCAAAATACTAACAACTGCACGATATAATGAAAATAAACAATGCCAGTTCAGGTCTCCCGCATGATAATGACAGTATACTGTACTTTATGCATTTAATAAGCCATTTTCTGATGGTGCAATATGTTATGAAAATATTTCCCAATCATACTAATCTCAATACAGACAATTTCTGGTTTAATTATCTGAGTAGCCAAGCTAGAATCTCACATTCATTCCAGTTTTCAAGATTTGCTCTTTTTTTTTTTTTTTCTCTTTATGCTTTAACTTCCAAATGTTTGACATAACTTATTTCACATTTTGCAGTAAAATTTAGTTTCGGTTTATCCTTACTGATCAATATCCCCTCGCCTATTATGGCAAACTATTTCATTCTTACGTTGTGAAAAAAAATCTTTTCTCTTTCTATAACTGCCCATATAGATAACAGTTTTACAGAAATATTATATTCTACAGGACCTAAGATTTGACTGTACCTTTAGATCATTTCATATCTATTTCAGTTAATTTTTTAACAAAATTATAAACTATTCTCATAAGATATATCACACTTTTTTCTCTTCCCTCTTGATCCATCTGTTTCCCATTCTTCCCTCCTTCCTTCCCAACATCTATGATGCAATGATGTTTACATATACTTCCCCATAAGGCAGTCAGTCAGCTGTGGGAATGAGAGTATAGCCTGTTGATATTATCTTACTCAAGTCAACTACATTATTGCTCTCTTGTGAATATATCATAAATAATGGTGTCAAGATAATTGAGAAGTGTGGTGGAGTGGTGCAGATGTATGGTAGAGGAGAGTGGTAAGAATGTGTGGAGATGAAGGTGAGAGGAAGTGAGGGTTAGCAGTGCCCAACTGACTGTCCTTTCACTCAAGAAATTAACACTGTCACTGGTTGGCATCTAATGCAACTCTGCCTTTGTTTCCAACAAAAATGAGGGAACCTCAGATTTCATTCTGCAACACTCCACCACACATCTGAGATGTCTGTACAACTGTGTTTCTTATGAGCTATGCATAAGTCTTGTACACAGATGATAATGTTTAGTCGAATGAGGAAGGACTGTGCCAAGCACACCACACACACTGGTACAGTGGGCATGACCCCTTACTACACACTCCCTCCCTCCCATATTTTATTTCTTGATTAATTTTCCTTATATATGCTGTTTTTATTGTTAAATAAACCTCTGTCTCACAGCTTTAAACATTGGCATTAGCCAAGCTTTAACTTTCAGTAACTATTCATTCAACCATTCCTCAAGTCTGTCGAGATCTTATAATAGCCTCCCACACTCCCCAAATTGCATTCTCATTACAGTATTAAGACATATCTATTCTTGTTCTTTGGTCATTATTATTCCTATTATCATTATTAACTCTATTTTTTGATGTTGAATTTGTCTGGCACTTTTTCAAGGTGCTGTGGTTCTTGGGGATTTGGTAGTTCTCAGGGATGTGCTGAGGCTTTGTGGTGTGGATGGGGTGGCCTTGGTGACATGGTGGAGTGTCGAGGTATAGGGGGTTCTTGGAATGTGGCGGGGCTTTGAGGTGTGGTTGTTCTTGGGGACGTTGTGGGGATTGGGGAAGTGGGGAGGGTTCTTGGGGTTATGGTGGTGTTTGAGATGTGGGGAAGGTTTTTGTGGATGTGGCAGAACTTCATAAGTGGCTATGATGGGTATATGGGTCAGTGGGATGCCAACAGGAACAGCCTGCTTGAACAGGCATTCAACAGAAAAGCCTGGCCCTAGGAATTTCACAAACAGTTGATACAAGAGAGAGAAGAGCTCAAATGCCTTGGATGAAATGTTCATCGCCAGCATTAATGTATCCCCTCTTGGAGGGGAGGTGAGGAAATGGTGGTTCTTGGGGATGAGGTGGAGTTCTAGGGTGTGGTGGTCTTTGGGAATGTGTTGGAGTTTGAGGGTGTAGTGGTTTGGGAATATTGTGGCACATGTGTCTGCTAGTCTGTTAACTTTACAAAGCAAGTCTATAATTAAAAACTATAAGATGAGCCTTCCAATCCTTCTATAACCCTGATAACTAACTCCAACAGACTTGCAAACTCAAATACAAAAACTCAATGAAGCAAACAATGTGACAGAGCAAAATTATTAAAGCACAAAAAATTATACTCAACAGGTTGACCACTTTAAGTTTCTCCTATAGTGATAAAAACATAATGAAGTCAGTGTATATGTATACAGTATTAATAAATAAATTTTTGCTGGAATGGTGTGGCCATTACATTAGACAATCAAAGAAGTTAAAAATGTTATTTGATACACAAAATTAGCTCTCACACTTAAATTAATACTACTTCATGCAATAAAAAATTTTTGCTATGAGATTAAACAGAGCAAAATTCTAAATAGATGCCCTATAATTCATTTAGGTATTTACCTGTCTAATTTTTCCCAAAACTCCAAGAATCTAGCTCTGTCTAAATGTCGACGAACACGGCTCAAGTTGATAATATGCACGGCCCACTTTGCTATGTTGTTATCTAATTTTATTTCTTCATACTTGATGTGAAAAGCACAAACTGCAAAAAAATGCATTCTGTGAGTAAATTACAAAGCAGAAAAATCTGCAATAAAGCACTAAATTTTTTTTGTACCGTAAAAAAAAAAGTGGCAAATAGATTTTATTTCTTCTGACCACCATTATTCCATCACCAAGGACAGATAAAATATAATGCCTACAATCAGTATCTTCTGTTATTAGATAATAACAGAATTAGCAAAAGTTTACTGAACAGTAACTAAAGTAAATTAACTCCAGTGATTTTGCACAACAAATGCATAACAAAATTTCAAAACATAACTCTGGAGGATAACAAAAAGATTAGGATAACAAAAAGATTAGGATAACAAAAAGATGAGGATAACAAAAAGATTAGGTGATGAAAGATTGGATATCAGATTGGAAGGAGAGAGTATGGAGAAGGTGAATGTATTCAGATATTTGGGAGTGGACGTGTCAGCGGATGGGTCTATGAAAGATGAGGTGAATCATAGAATTGATGAGGGGAAAAGGGTGAGTGGTGCACTTAGGAGTCTGTGGAGACAAAGAACTTTGTCCTTGGAGGCAAAGAGGGGAATGTATGAGAGTATAGTTTTACCAACGCTCTTATATGGGTGTGAAGCATGGGTGATGAATGTTGCAGCGAGGAGAAGGCTGGAGGCAGTGGAGATGTCACGTCTGAGGGCAATGTGTGGTGTGAATATAATGCAGAGAATTCGTAGTTTGGAAGTTAGGAGGAGGTGCGGGATTACCAAAACTGTTGTCAAGAGGGCTGAGGAAGGGTTGTTGAGGTGGTTCGGACATGTAGAGAGAATGGAGCGAAACAGAATGACTTCAAGAGTGTATCAGTCTGTAGTGGAAGGAAGGCGGGTAGGGGTCGGCCTAGGAAAGGTTGGAGGGAGGGGGTAAAGGAGGTTTTGTGTGCGAGGGGCTTGGACTTCCAGCAGGCATGCGTGAGCATGTTTGATAGGAGTGAATGGAGACAAATGGTTTTTAATACTTGACATGCTGTTGGAGTGTGAGCAAAGTAACATTTATGAAGGGGTTCAGGGAAACCGGCAGGCCGGACTTGAGTCCTGGAGATGGGAAGTACAGTGCCTGCACTCTGAAGGAGGGGTGTTAATATTGCAGTTTAAAAACTGAGGTGTAAAGCACCCTTCTGGCAAGACAGTGATGGAGTGAATGATGGTGAAAGTTTTTCTTTTTCGGGGCACCCCGCCTTGGTGGGAAACGACCAGTGTGATAATAAAAATAAAATAAAATAAAATAAATAACTCTGGAGACGGAAGCAGAGGTGGTAACATGGCACAATTATCAAAACAGTGGAAAATGGGACAACTATGTCTGTCCCTGGAGCAATGAACACAAGGAGAATTAAAAGTACAATTCCATTACTGGAACAACACACAAATAACCTGCATATAGGAGAATGAAACTTATGATGTTTGTCTCACTTGTACCACTAACTAGTCAAGATTGAAGTGCTGTCGTGAATTTCAATCTCCTATGTGTGGGTTATTTGTAATAAGGAGGAAATTCAATCATGTAGTACAAAAGAAAATTGGAGGCACAGATATGGGCAAGCTGCTTACTTGGAAGGGAATCTAGAACAAGAGGAGATAAAGAAGAAACTCCAAAATAAGCCAAAACACAGACACCAAGAAAAACACATTCAATATAAGAAGAATAAAAAATGAATGGTAAAAAAGTATAATAAGCAAGCAAATCATAGTTGAAGTCGGCTCAAAACAAGGGTTTAAACATAGATCTTCTTTCTTTCAACACACCAGCCGTATCCCACCAAGGCAGGGTGGCCCAAAAAGAAAAACTAAGGTTTCTCTTTTTAGATTTAGTAATTTATACAGGAGAAGGGGTTACTAGCCCCTTTAAACATAGATATAATTTAAATAATTCACTCAGTTATACAGAAATTTGAGACAAATTTAAAAGTGAGAGTTAATCCTTACTGCAAACTCAATTAAGCAAAAACAAAGGAATGAGGAAAATTCTTCTGCAACATATAAACAATAAAGATGCTTAACTTACTAAACAATGCCATAATAGAAGCTTCTTCCCTCCCCCCCCCCACCTGCAAACTCAAAAAAGTGATGAAAGAAAATTAAAATCTTACTTCTATTAAAGATCTCTACTGGATTGCCATCATGAGGCCATCCTTTGAACTGCCATGCTGGTCCCATGGCAAATACAGCAACAACACGGTCCCATTCTGCATAGTTCAGTTTGGATGGATTATCTGTGACACGATATGGTACAGTGAGACCTCCAGCTTTGGGACGCTGAATAAGAATCTCTGTTTCACGTTTGGTGCCTTGTTGTCGCTTCTCTTCAGAGGTGACAAATCTGGAACAAATTATAAATTAGAAGCCTGATCATATCCAATGGTGCAAAGGTAGCTGCATATAAAAACAATGCATATGTACTATTTTATATTATGATGATTAGACACTTGTGCAACACTTGGGTAACTTTACTGTGCAAGGGTACCGTGTTTGCCACCCTCACACACAGTGGGTCAGTAGTTAGTGAACAAAGAATTCTTCTTTTCACATGGTTACATTCATATTCACAATAGTGTAACATTTCATTGTAATCTACAAATACATATCTTTCAAAATATATTAATCTAAATGCATAGGAATTCTTTAAAGGACTTGAATAATCTTTTGAGAGAAAGAAATCTCACATAAAAAGGTCTAGTCCTTAACTAATTAACAAATTGCCAATGTATCAGTATCAGCTGATTTTGATAGTTTTGTTATTGACCTAAAGTTCAGTACCAATATCGGAGAGTATTGTCTAATTCTGATGGTAACAGTACCAGCCTAAAATTTAGCATTGGTAAAAATTTTGGTATCATCCCATCCCTACAGGTAAGCTACATGAAAGTGTTATTCACGTACCTTTGTGAATTCATACGACTTTGTGAATGAGAGGGAGATGTCGCTACAAAGTACAGTATGCGATATTTCTCTTTGGATATCCCAAACTTTATTAACATAGTTATAAATGAAATGAAGGAATATTGTAGGACAGCTTGGGAAACTTAAGTCTGTAATGTAGATTCTCATGACAAATAGGTGTAACAGGAGTAAGCACAGTATGATGAAACTTTAACGTGTAAAGGAATTATTTCCTTTCGACTCATACATGTAAGATACAAATTTAAATGAATGGATGTAAGGTTATAATATACGTATTCAATACGTTATGAATGAGAATGAAGTGAAAAATTTGAGAAAATAAACATTTCTCTATACAAAAGACAGTGAAACATGAACAAGCAGAATCCAGCAATTATTACTGATTTTAAAGCCCACATTGAGAAAAAAGTATTTTAACTCATAAAAAATTATTAATTTCCCTCCCATAAAAAAAATATTCCACTTGAACTTACTTCATATCTTGAAGGAGATCCTTAGCATTAAGCATTGTGATTAACGACGTTGGAGAATTGGGAACAATTATAATGGGTGTACGTGATGGTTTCTTCATTTGCTGACCAGGTATTGGCTGCAAATATAAATTATAATGAAAGTACAGAAAAACCTAACCTTCCAAAAAATGGTTATAAAGAAAATAAGACAGTAATGAAACTATCAAAGGTATGCTAGTCAGGTTGACTGATGCTGCAAATTTTTAATGATCCAGGAAATATTCAAATGCCATATGGTCCTATGTGTAAACTGGTTGTGAATTATAGCTTGTGTGCGCCTGTCCACATATTAAATAGCCAATAACTGGAAGACGAGAAACAATAATTACTTCCACAATGACAAACCTTAGTCTGGGGGGTTAGATCTGGCTGTGGGGCCATCTTGTGACTCTGGCTACCCTCTGTCACACTCTTCAATGACAGACCGTGATAGGTACGCATTGTATCAATTTTGAAGCCTTCCGTTTCTGCAATCAGAATTTACAGACATGATCACTGTGGTAATTTTTTATTTAAAGCACACTGGCCAGTTCCCACCAAGGAGGGAAGAGCCAAAAAAAAGAAACACCATCAGTCACACTATCACTGTCTTTGCAGAAGCACACAGATGATAGTTTAGATGTCACTCTAGACAGCAAATACCCCAACCTCCTCCTTTAAAGTGCAGGCATTATACTTTCCACCTCCAGGACTTAAATCTGGCTAACCGGTTTCCCTGAATCCCTTCACAAAATATTACCCTGCTCACACTCCAACAGCTCATCAAGTTCAAAAAACTATTTGTCTCCACTCACTCCTATCTAACACATTCACACATGCCTGCTGTATGTCCAAGCCCCTTGTACACAAAACCTCTTTTAGCCCCCCTCCCTCCATCCTTTCCTAAGATGACCCCTACCCCTCCTTCCCTCCGCTACAGATTTATATAGATACAATGCCCTTATTGAAGTGTGCATTGTTTATTAGTATGCACAATGTTAATTTATTTTTCTCTCCCTTCTCTTCAATGAACTATAATAGACTAGACCAGCAATAAAGTACCCATTTATGAATAAAGTCTATACTACATATGTAGTCTCAAGGTAGACACAGCTCCCAGACTTGGAATCATATTTGCCATCTGACTGGGCTTTTATCCAGTATTTGTTGGGATTATGATTATGCTCTCATATTAATTTTTTATCTGACCTAGAATCATCAAAATATATTAATTTTAACAAAAGCCCTGATTACAGTAAATGAAAAGGAAGATGATCAAAAATTTCCAACAAAACTGCTACAAATGATGTGAAGTGGAAAGGTTCTATAAGTGAAGATCTTAGGATGATTCAGAACAAAGGATTCATATGATGAATAAATTTAATGAGTGAGTAATGCTTATGACACCTGTCCTAATGCCAACAAAGATATTTTACTTTATATGCTTAAACCAATTTCTCAACATACATTATTTAACCTAGGTTTTGTTATACATATTAATATAAATTAAATAATTATAACATTTCCTCGGTGGGATATCGGCCAGTGGGTTAAAAAAAATTATAATATTCAATAACATTAATAATACTATATATATTTGAAATTGCAAACAGAAAAACAAATGTTTTGTAATGAATAAGCATTGCATAGAATACCCTTTTTAGTGTCATAGTCGCTTTACTGACAGTCTGGAGTCAAAGTAAAAAAGAGCAAAAACAAATGTTTGCTTAAAAGCATGGGTTGAATTATGTAGTCAAATGTGGGGAGAAAAAAAAAAGCTCATTTTGATTCACTATGTTTTGGCTGATAAGTCACATAGAGGATATTGAGGCAATTATGTGACTGTCCGTCTATTTCTCATGAGAAACAATGTAGTGCCATGTTAATTTACAATGGACTGAGCTACTGAAATCCATTTTTATATTTTACAAGCTGTGAAATTTGTCCTAACAAGTGTGTCTAATATGTCCATTGTAGCTTTTGATGATAATTATTTTTATTTAATGTACTGGCCGTCTTCCACCAAGGTAGAGTGACCTGAAAAAGAAATACTTTCACCATCATTCACTCTATCACTGTCTTGCCAGAGGCATTTTAATACATGTATATCATCAGCACACTGACAAGATAATAGAAAACTTGGGAAAGATAGAAAGAGGGTGGGACAAGTGGCGTCAGTTATTCAGCAAATTATCAGAGATGGATGAAGAGCAGGAACTTCTAGCACATTTTTTTTTTTCAACAAGTCGGCCGTCTCCCACCGAGGTAGGGTGACCCAAAAAGAAAGAAAATCCCCAAAAAGAAAATACTTTCATCATCATTCAACACTTTCACCTCACTCACAAATCATCACTGTTTTTGCAGAGGTGCCCAGAATACAACAGTTTAGAAGCATATACGTATAAAGACATGCAACATATCCCTCCAAACTGCCAATATCCCGAACCCCTCCTTTAGAGTGCAGGCATTATACTTCCCATTTCCAGGACTCAAGTCCGGCTATATAAAAATAACCGGTTTCCCTGAATCCCTTCACTAAATATTACCTTGCTCACACTCCAACAGCTCGTCAGGTCCCAAATATATTCCCCTATAATTCTTACAATCTCTTTTGTCCCCCTTCCCTTTATATAAAGGAACTATACATGCTCTCTGCCAATCCCTAGGTACCTCCCCCTCTTTCATACATTTATTAAACAAAAATACCAACCACTCCAACACTATGTCCCCCCCTGCTTTTAACATTTCTGTCATGATCCCGTCAGTTCCAGCTGTTTTACCCCCTTTCATTCTATGTAATGCCTCACGCACCTCCCCCACACTCACACCCTGCTCTTCTTCACTCCTAAAAGATGGTATACCTCCCTGGCCAGCGCATGAAATTACCGCCTCTCTTTCTTCATCAACATTTAAAAGTTACTCAAAATATTCCCACCATCTACCCAATACCTCCAGCTCCCCATCTACTAACTCCCCTACTCTGGTTTTTAACTGACAAATCCATTCGTTCCCTAGGCTTTCTTAACTTGTTTATCTCACTCCAAAATTTTTTCTTATTTTCTGCAAAATTTTTTGACAGTGCTTCTCCCACTCTATCATCTGCTCTCTTTTTGCACTGTCTCAGATATTGTTCAGAAAACAACCATTACTGTAGACAATGTTCACCTGATTCACGTTTTGTCATGTCTGATACACTCATTTGTGCAGTGAAAATTGTTTGAAAATAAATCTGCATCTATAACTGTCTCTCTTCACTGTCTCATGAATGAGATGCGACTCACTCAACACAATAAATATCAATCAGTAGAATAAGTGCCATTAATGCCCATATTTAAACCATTCAGATATTTGGGGGTGGATGTGTCAGGAGAAGGGTCTATGAAAGATGAGGTGAATCACAGAACTGGCGAGGGAAAAAAGGTGAGTGGTGCACTGGGGAATCTGTGGAGACAAGGAACTTTATCCATGAAAGCAAAGAGGGGAATGTATGAGAGTAGGGGTGTGAGGCATTCGTGGTAAATGTTGCAACAAGGAAAAGGCTGGAGGCAGTGGAGATGTCATGTTTGAGGGCAATGTGTGGTGTGAATATAATGCAGAGAATCCGTAGTTTGGTGATAGGAGGAGGTGTGGGATTACCAAAACTATTATCCAGTGGGCTGAGGAGGGGGTTATTGAGATGGTTTGGACATGCAGAGGGGATGAAATGTAATAGAATGACTTCGAGAGTGTATAAACCTATAGTGGAGGGGAGGCGGGGTAGGAGTCAGCCTAGGTAAGGTTGGACGGAGGGGGGAAAAGGTTTTGTGTGCGAGGGGCTTGGACATCCAGCAAGCGTGCGTGAGGATGTTAGATAGGAGCAGATGGAGACAAATGGTTTTAAGGACTTGACATGCTGTTGGAGTGTAAGCAAGGTAACATTTATGAAGGGATTCAAGGAAACCAGCAGGTCGGACTTGATTCCTGGAGATGGGAAGTACAGTGCTGGCACTCTGAAGAGGGATGTTAATGCTGCAGTTTTATAACTGTGATGTAAGCATGCCTCTGGCAAGACAGTGATAGAGTGAATGATGATGAAAGTTTTTCTTTTTCAGGCCACCCTGCCTTGGTGGGAAACGGCTGATGTATTAATAAAAAATAATAATTTACACCATTAGGAGGGAACACTTATACTTCAGTGTGATCTACCCATTGTATTGCTGTCTTTGTCAGACAATATCATATGGTATAAATATCACCACTGCTATCTGCAATACCTTTATATAATAACATTAGTGTTCTCTTCCCATAAAGCAGCACAACATCTAGCCAAAAATGACAAATTTGTTTCTAAACAAATACCTTGGTGTAAAACTTATGTATAAGGCCCAATATCTTTGTCAGATATAAATACCTCCAGCCAGGTGCTCCCAGCATATGCATAAGGATATGATAATGAGTTTAAGGGTTAGACAACAGGATATATTAATGACCTGATGTCTACTCAAGTCCCCCTTATTTCTAAATTACAGATAAAAAAATAAAAATATTACTATCACTCGTGAAAACCATCATAACAACAGACCTTCTTTTCCCTTAAACCTTTCCTGGTCATATCGAGAATAACCAGCTGGCTGTTGTGGTAATCTTGAAATTGGTGTTGGCACAGGATTTGTTGTCGTTGTTCTTAGACGACCGTCTTCACGGGCCTTGATTGACTTAAGAAGTCCCATTATACTTGTTGCAAATTGCTGAGGAAATACTAATTGTACAATCTAATTTTATCACCATAGAAAGTTCATCTAATATAGTGCAAAATGCCTAACTGCACATTTAGCTACAATCCTAGCTTATTACAATTTCTTACCCATACACATGCTTCATAAATGATTTTATCAGTTCATCCTATAGAATTTGATTTCAGTAGTTGTTCATGTCTAAAATATTTACTAAATGCATTAATGTATAATGTTCTGCAGATATCATCATGTTTATGCTATCATAAAAGTAGGTTAAGCAGGTCATTATTAAAGTACCAAAAATATTTAGGTTTTAAATGCAAAACTGAAACAAATGAATAAAATAAATACTTATCAAATTCCTTGTGTTCGGATATCATTTTTTTTTTTTTTATCACACTGGCCGATTCCCACCAAGGCAGGGTGGCCCGAAAAAGAAAAACTTTCACCATCATTCACTCCATCACTGTCTTGCCAGAAGGGTGCTTTACACTTCAGTTTTTAAACTGCAACATTAACACCCCTCCTTCAGAGTGCAGGCACTGTACTTCCCATCTCCAGGACTCAGTCCGGCCTGCCAGGTTTCCTTACACCCCTTCATAAATGTTACTTTGCTCACACTCCAACAGCACGTCAAGTATTAAAAACCATTTGTCTCCATTCACTCCTATCAAACACGCTCACGCATGCCTGCTGGAAGTCCAAGCCCCTCGCACACAAAACCTCCTTTACCCCCTCCCTCCAACCTTTCCTAGGCCGACCCCTACCCGCCTTCCTTCCACTACAGACTAATACACTCTTGAAGTTATTCTGTTTCGCTCCATTCTCTCCACATGTCCGAACCACCTCAACAACCCTTCCTCAGCCCTCTGGACAACAGTTTTGGTAATCCCGCACCTCCTCCTAACTTCCAAACTACGAATTCTCTGCATTATATTCACACCACACATTGCTCTCAGACATGACATCTCCACTGCCTCCAGCCTTCTCCTCGCTGCAACATTCATCACCCATGCTTCACACCCATATAAGAGCGTTGGTAAAACTATACTCTCATACATTCCTCTCTTTGCCGCCAAGGACAAAGTTCTTTGTCTCCACAGACTCCTAAGTGCACCACTCACCCTTTTCCCCTCATCAATTCTATGATTCACCTCATCTTCATAGACCCATCCGCTGACACGTCCACTCCCAAATATGTGAATACATTCACCTCCTCCATACTCTCTCCCTCCAATCTGATATTCAATCTTTCATCACCTAATCTTTTTATCCTCATAACCTTACTCTGTATTCACTTTCAATTTTCTTCTTTTGCACACCCTACCAAATTCATCCACCAATCTCTGCAACTTCTCTTCAGAATCTCCCAAGAGCACAGTGTCATCAGCAAAGAGCAACTGTGACAACTCCCACTTGATGTGTGATTCTTTATCTTTTAACTCCACGCCTCTTGCCAAGACCCTCGCATTTACTTCTCTTACAACCCCATCTATAAATATATTAAACAACCACGGTGACATCACACATCCTTGTCTGAGGCCTACTTTTACTGGGAAATAATTTCCCTCTTTCCTACATACTCTAACTTGAGCCTCACTATCCTCGTAAAAACTCTTCACTGCTTTCAGTAACCTACCTCTTACACCATACACCTGCAACATCTGCCACATTGCCCCCCTATCCACCCTGTCATACCGCCTTTTCCAAATCCATAAATGCCACAAAGACCTCTTTAGCCTTATCTAAATACTGTTCACTTATATGTTTCACTGTAAACACCTGGTCCACACACCCCCTACCTTTCCTAAAGCCTCCTTGTTCATCTGCTATCCTATTCTCCGTCTTACTCTTAATTCTTTCAATAATAACTACCATACACTTTGCCAGGTATACTCAACAGACTTATCCCCCTATAATTTTTGCACTCTCTTTTATCCCCTTTGCCTTTATACAAAGGAACTATGCATGCTCTCTGCCAATCCCTAGGTACCTTACCCTCTTCAATACATTTATTAAATAATTGCACCAACCACTCCAAAACTATATCCCCACCTGCTTTTAACATTTCTATCTTTATCCCATCAATCCCGGCTGCCTTACCCCCTTTCATTTTACCTACTGCCTCACGAACTTCCCCCACACTCACAACTGGCTCTTCCTCACTCCTACAAGATGTTGTTCCTCCTTGCCTTATACACGAAATCACAGCTTCCCTATCTTCATCAACATTTAACAATTCCTCAAAATATTCCCTCCATCTTCCCAATACCTCTAACTCTCCATTTAATAACTCTCCTCTCCTATTTTTAACTGACAAATCCATTTGTTCTCTAGGCTTTCTTAACTTGTTAATCTCACTCCAAAACTTTTTCTTATTTTCAACAAAATTTGTTGATAACATCTCACCCACTCTCTCATTTGCTCTCTTTTTACATTGCTTCACCACTCTCTTAACCTCTCTCTTTTTCTCCATATACTCTTCCCTCCTTGCATCACTTCTACTTTGTAAAAACTTCTCATATGCTAACTTTTTCTCCCTTACCACTCTCTTCACATCATCATTCCACCAATCGCTCCTCTTCCCTCCCGCACCCACTTTCCTGTAACCACAAACTTCTGCTGAACACTCTAACACTACATTTTTAAACCTACCCCATACCTCCTCGACCCCATTGCCTATGCTCTCATTAGCCCATCTATCCTCCAATAGCTGTTTATATCTTACCCTAACTGCCTCCACTTTTAGTTTATAAACCTTCACCTCTCTCTTCCCTGATGCTTCTATTCTCCTTGTATCCCATCTACCTTTTACTCTCAGTGTAGCTACAACTAGAAAGTGATCTGATATATCTGTGGCCCCTCTATAAACATGTACATCCTGAAGTCTACTCAACAGTCTTTTATCTACCAATATCATTTATATAGACATGAAACAGATCCATTAGCAACGATATGAGAGTTTTCAAAGTTACTCCGGACTAGTAATCTCATTATTAAATTCAAAGAGGTACTGAGAAATGAAATTCAATTGTTCTAACAAAATTGAACATTGTTCTTGCCAGAAACATGTGAATATAATTTACTATGCCATACTCATACTTCATCAAAATTTATACTCGTAATTTTTTTATAAACATTCATAATAATCATCTACAGTTTTTCAAATGTAATACTTCGAACAATACACTAACACTCATACTCAATGAAGTTTAAGGAAGATAACCGAACAGAAGATAATTGGAATAGCCCAGAAAAGTGCTAATACACTTAATAAATAAAATGTAGGTAGGTCTGAAACTGAAATGGCCTAATATGCTATAATCATAAGTGGGCCTCTTTTATTATGGTTTACATTCTCAGTGTAAACTAGAATGTTGTATGATTTATATGTTATATGGTTAATATGCAATATGGTTAGTATGTTATATGGTTAGCATCTTCAATAAGTTTAAACTTATAAATAAGTTGTATAAAGTAAAGAAGAGAGACTGTGCCGAGCCAGAATTGAGGTGGTGCTTGGTCATAGCACAGAGACATAAAATTAGTGATGGGATATCAAAAATTTAGCAGATACTGATGTGATACTCAGTTTTAAACCAATGCAAATGCCATCAAAATTAGCTAATACCCACCGATACCAATATTCAATTTTAGATGACTACTGATACCGATACCATCAAAATTAGCCAATCCCCACTGATACTTTGGCATACCCTTACATACAATCAACACTAATGTTAACTTTGTTTATTTTTTAAATTTTATTTTTTTTTTCCAATTTTTTTACTTTGAAAAAATGCTTTCATTTATAGGGACCTAGTCCCAATACTGTCGTAGTTTCTATCTGCACTTACATACAATTAACTATTAAAGGGTCTTATGATAACTCCAGGACCACAAGGAGTGCTGCTTCTCCAGTGCCTACTTGACCCTAGTTCATATTGATGAGCCCAATCGATTTATAAAGCAATGCCACACTGAACTTGCTTCCCAAAAAGGTGCTGCAACTCCAAGGCAGACCAAACATACAGATAAAGGAAAATGGGGAGTATACAGGTCTCCTTGAATAGTGCATGAATGCATGCTTGTGCAAAAAAAAAAAAAAAAAAAAAAAAAAAAAAAAAAAAAAAAAAAAAAATTAAAGAGTACTGGCCTAAATTCAACACTCTGTATGATAAAAATTTCAGTCATACATACACAACACTAAAAACATATCAGCTGATAATAATCCTTCATACAGCCAGCACACACCAAAATATCCTACATCCACTAAAAACCCACAAACTGCACAATAGTGTGTGTCTCACAAATTCCCCAAGTTACAGTAAGTCTTCTGGGTATAAAAAAACATCCAAATCAATATGGTAGAAGCTGAGAGTAAAATTAAAATACATGCCACAGTAGGTAGCACATCACAAGCTGCACAGAAAAAGAATGGGATCACCAGCAATAAGGTGATGACAAGCAAGAAGGATTTGAGAAAGGAGACTGTGGAAGGGATGTAGTTATTGAAGTTCTAGAATTTACATTTGCTTTCAACCATCTTTTCAAATGACTTATTTTTCATCAGTTTCATCATGTTCTCATACATACCTATCCACACAATCCTGCTGAACAAATTTTGAAGTTTCTCTCATCATTCCATGTTTTGTTTCATTCCTAGCTTGTGTAACCTGTCAAGAATTTAAAATATGAAACTTTATACATGCGGTACTGTGCAGTACTCACCTTGCCAGAACTCTGAAGAATGGTTGTTCTAGTTCTCCACTGACGTTCCTTTGTGGTAATGTCTTTGGTGACATCAATGTCAAACTCTAGCATGCCGCGCAGGTCTGTTCCAAGGCCATATATGTCATCATCATCCTCTTTGATCATTGTTCTCTTAACAGCCAAACGTTTTGCTTTAATGGCAGCAATTTTCTCAATTGACATTGCTTCAGACAAAGACCTGTAAACATAATTTGCCAATGTTATCAAGTGTAGGCAGGTAGCAGATATCTCCACAATCATAATTTTATTAAATCTTTCTTTCTTTCAACACACCGGCCGTATCCCACCGAGGCAGGGTGGCCCAAAAGGAAAAACGAAAGTTTCTCCTTTTACATTTAGTAATATATACAGGAAGAGGGGTTACTAACCCCTTGCTCCTGGCATTTTAGTCGCCTCTTACAACACACATGGCTTACGGAGGAAGAACTCTGTTCCACTTCCCCATGGAGATAACAGGAAACAAACAAGAACTAGTAAGAAAATAGAAGAAAACCCAGAGGGGTGTGTATATATATATATATATAAATATAGATATGCTTGTACATGTATGTGCAGTGTGACCAAAGTGTAAGTAGTAGTAGCAAGACATACCCAAAATCTTGCATGTTTATGAGACAGAAAAATGGACACCAGTAATCCTACCATCGTGTAAAACAATTACAGGCTTTCCTTTTACACTCACTTGGCAGGACGGTAGTACCTCCCTGGGCGGTTGCTGTCTACCAACCTACTACCTAGGTTTTATTAAATACCTTGACGCAAAACGACCATGGAGGGAGTTGAATAATAGATCTAGGTTTTTTGTGTTGAAATCAACACATCAGAAAGGAGTAAGAAATTTCAGCAAATTTATTCCATTAAGGGTGGTGGAGGGAAAGCATTCAGTACCCCAAGCACAAGTGCCTGGTGCCAGGGAGATTAAGTATTATAGGAAGAGAGAAAAGTCAGCCCACAAGCAAAGATAATTCAGTGATTAACTAGCAAAATTAACATTGGTAACATAATGGTTATCAAGATTATCAGTCAGACTTCAAAATATAAAGGACTTTATATTCTGAACAAAGCTGCATCTGGCATTTGTTGTAGGGAAAATTCCACAACAATTAAGGAAAATGAACTAGGGCAAACTCACCTAGTGGGTAGACACAGGACTAGCCTCACCAGGAAGAGCATCACCCCGCCCTAATTCATATTCGCGGAACCCTGACACCTAAGACAATCCAGGCCATTTACATAAGAATCAGGTTTTAGACTATGCACAATAGCCTCAATTATAAACAAATTAAGCTTGAATAACCCACAACTACCATTAAATAACTAAAGTTCATTTGTTTAGTAATTGCAGATTCAAGAATATTTCTTTCTAGCCATGAAGTACATGGGACAATGACCTTTGCCTCAGCCCACTTAGTAGGATTATTACAAACTCATGTCTCATGTGTGGTTGAATATCGAACTGAATTCTTGGGCTGTCTTTACTGAATACTGATGTTGTGTAATTCTAATATTTAAAGGTTACCTGTCTACCTGACATAAGAATGGTTGCATCCTTGTCACTCAATCCTGTACACACCACTTACACCATGTTTAGGAGAATTCTTGATCAACATACTCATAACAGTCAGTGAATTCTTAAAAATAACTTGTATATTAAGTCTCTAGGGCATTCAGCAGAACTGATAAATTCTCACTGTAAGGAAGAACAAGCATATTCTTGTTATGAGAAGTTATTCTAGGTTCAGTCCTATGATAAGCTTTTCTAGCTGCCAACAAAATAGTCTTCAAACTCCTTAGGGTAACAGCTTTGTAGCAATGTCAAAGATTTTCCTAATTTCCTCATCTAAGAACTCAGGGCTACACACACTGTAAACTCTCAAAAGGTAATGTCAGTGATGAGATTCACAGAAACTGGTTAGCCAAACTAGAATTCTGGAAATAATGATATACATGCTTGCACTCTGGAGGATAGATGGGGACATTGTGGTTTGATGAGTTATTTAAACTGTGATGTCTATGAACTGCTAGTAAATAAGTGATAGTAAATGTGTTTACTTTAGTGGGTCCCAGAACCTTGGTGGGAAACAGCTAATGTATTGAAACACTCATTCTATTGATTATTATTTAAACTTTTTGTCTGTTTTGTTATTACACATACTGTACATTTAAATAAACTGTATGTAATACTACTGTACCTATCAATATTGCTGACAATAGAAGACTTTTTTGGTGCATCAAAGCGAAGAGCAAGATGTTCTTTAATTTTCTGTACATCACTGTCATCATAACGTGGCTTCTTGGCTGTAATGTCTGACGCATCTTCTACCGTTCGTTTTACCTGCAACATAATTCTTAAGTAAAATTTAATGAAATTAATATTGGTATCAGCATTAAAAATCCTATGAAATACTGTACCACAAATAATGTTTCTGAAAACTGCAATACTAATGATTTCCACAGCTTACAAAATTAAAAAAAAAAAAAACATGAGAAAATAAGGTTGCATTCATCAAACCTCTATCTCTAAGCCAGTTGCTGACTCAGCTAAAGAATTAATTTCTTTGATAACATTTCTGGTATAGAACAACAAGAGGTTGATGAATTAGACATGTGTGAAACACTTGGGTATCTTTATTTTGAAAAAGCTGCACCAAACAATGCTTTTTTCAATTCAGTAGAGCTTATTAACTGGAGAGCATATTCTATCCACAGCAAGTGGGAAGTGTGAGCATGAATGACATTCAAAACTACCAGCACTCGCACATTCTTGTTTGAGATAGGTTAAAAAGCACCAAGAGTTTCATCTTACCTTTCATTCCTTGCTCCTTATTACTAAGGAAGTGTGAAGATATATCTGATGTGGCCCTTATTGGCCAAAACAACCACCCGTGGCCTCCATCTTTACTAGTCATAAACTTTATAAAATTTTTTCTTTTAATAACTTCTCACACTTTATTATCAATCACTAACATATTAACAATTATATAAATGCAGCCATGGTAGGTAAACGACTGTTGAAGTTACCAGAATGTGTGATTACAGAGTAATTGTGTGCTACACTAGCCTGTGTGAGTAACATACCAGCCATAATAACCACCACCATCTTCCACCTCTACTCTAACTGTAATTTTCTTAGAAATTTTAAGTTTCGTGCCTAATTCTTCTGGGCACCTCCAGCATCACTTTTATTCATTTTGGGTGCCACGATTAATATCCAAAGCTAGGCGATACGAATGAAAATTGAGATCAATAACCACACACAGAACTGTATGGAACGTGTCCAGATAGACTGACGACTAGTTTGTTTACACCAAGCAGTGATACTTGGCCTCCAACAAGCCTTGTCCAAAGGGTGCAGGGATGTTACACTATGGTAATGCACACCACTATTTCTGCCCTGGTATACCTTGATGGTAATGGCATGCTACTACTGGAAATAAAGAAGTAAATACCATATAAACAATAGAATACTGAAAATGCCCAGGGAGGTACTACCGTCCTGCCAAGTGAGTGTAAAACGAAAGCCTGTAATTGTTTTACATGATGGTAGGATTGCTGGTGTCCATTTTTCTCTCATAAACATGCAAGGTTTCAGGTACGTCTTGCTACTTCTACGTACACTTAGGTCACACTACACATACATGTACAAGCATATATGTACACACCCCTCTGGGTTTTCTTCTATTTTCTTACTAGTTCTTGTTCTTGTTTATTTTCTCTTACCTCCGTGGGGAAGTGGAACAGAATTCTTCCTCTGTAAGCCATGCGTGTTGTAGGAGGCAACTAAAATGCCGGAGCAAGGGGCTAGTAACCCCTTCTCCTGTATATATTACTAAATGTAAAAGGAGAAACTTTCGTTTTTTCTTTTGGGCCACCCCGCCTCGGTGGGATACAGCCAGTGTGTTGAAAGAAAGAAAATACTGAAAATGCCAGCTATAACTGCATGACTTACAAGATTTTATTGTACACGAAATGGACAAACAAGGAAGAGAACAGCCTGAAGATAAGAAGTTTCTGAAACCTTAGAAAGGAGATGAAATACTAAAGGAGGCAGAATCAGTGGCGAATAAGTACACAAATATGCTGTTACTGCTGAGATTTTTCATTCTGATTAAGTTTGGACACAGACCTGGTCTGAGACTAGGCTGCTGGGGCACTCTCCCTAGAAAACATCCTTCAAGGTAGGAATAATAGATGATAGAACTACTAAAATTTGAGTATGAGAATAATGATGAAATGATAATAAATAACCAGGAAAGGGAAAGTGAGTGGAGGTATATATACAGCTAAAGGTCCTTGGAAGGTATAAGATAAATGAGAGAGACTACACTGATGTGCCTTCAGGCTCTGTTGGGGCCTCTTACATCAAAGTAAATCTCTTGAGAGACTAAGGATAATATGGATAGAAGAAATAAATACTAAATACAACTTACAGTTGCTTTATGAACAGCTCGTTTGTAATACATGTACTGTAATTCTTTTACAATATTATACAGAAAGTATAAAATCTTCAGCTATATAATGATAATTTATTTATTTTTGCAAAGTTTATTATCAAATAATGCCAAATCTTACTTCAAATATAATCTAAACATTGGAATGTTCTAGTCTCTTCAACCTTCCTATAAAATATTATAATGAGCAATATTGTACCTACCTGTGTGGGAATTTCCAAAGGTGCTGATTTATCAATAGCTGTAGCTGTTGATGTTTCTCCATTGAGGTATGCCAAAAGTTCTTTACGATCTGGACGACGTACCACAGGAATATTCTCAGCCTACAGATGTGCAAATTTTAACTTTAAAAATAAAATAAATTAATAAATAAATAAATACACACATACAGTTCTTTGAAAATGTGAGAAATCATGAAAGTGCTTGGAAGTTTAATATTTTTTCAGTGTTGTTCTGCATACAGACATACACATACGCATTTTTTTTCTTTTCCAACAAGTCGGCCGTCTCCCACCGAGGCAGGGTGACCCAAAAAAGAAAAAATCTCCAAAAAGAAAATACTTTCATCATCATTCGACACTTTCACCTCACTCTTACATAATCACTGTTTTTGCAGAGGCACCCAGATACAACAGTTTAGAAGCATATATAGATATATAACATATCCCTCCAAACTGCCAATATCCCAAACCCCTCCTATACATATACACACATACACATATATAAATACATACATATACAAACTATGTATATATTAGGCCCTGAGTATAATTCAATACATGACAGTGTAGACATCTAAGCCCAACTATGGTATTCATGTTGAAAATTTATTAGTACAGTATTTTAAAGTATGAAAGCAGGAGAACTCCAGCAAACGGGCCTGCTGAACCATGCTAAGCAGGTCCTATTCACCCTCAACCTTTCTCATGCATTTTATAACTTGCTGTATTTCTAATGCTTTCCAAAGTACACTTGTTTCAATTATGCTACTTGGTAGTTTACTGCATTCATCGAAACACTAGGACTACACCCATACTTTTTTACATTTGCAAATTTTTGAATGAAAGATTCCTGACCTGAAGGATTGACTGTCATTCCTCTCTGTGTTATCCAGTACATTTATGTTCATTCTGTTATATGGAGACAATCTGAACAAAGATCTGCTGTTGATATAAAGTATAGAGGTATAATACAGCATAACCTTGAACATGTTATTCATACCATAGTTACTGGTATGAAGTCCTGCAATCTATTACCTTTACTGCAACTGGAAATGTGCTGTTGCTTTACTTTAATTTCTGCTAACCCAAATTAAAAAAAAAAAAACTTTTTATATCTGGTTTCAGTTCTGTATTACTGTATAATGAAAATCTCCTTTGAAATATAACATCAACTATTTGCGTGTTTGAGAGAATGTGGAAAATGGAGGAATGAAAGGAATGACAAGATTGCAAAGGCTATGCTCATGGAATCATGATTAAGCTGGTTAGAAACAGAAGAAGACTGGCAGTTGTATGCAGTACCAAACAAGAAATTTGTATTCAGTGAACTTACAGCGGCCTTTCGCACATACGATGGATGTGTAAGGCTGACATGCTTGAGAAGGAAGAGCAGACATTCCAATGTGTAGTAGTCCTTGGGAGCCCCATCTTTACCAGAGCTGTAATGAAAAGTATCAGATACTTTTCTACAAAAGTATTAAAGGCTGGTAAGATATGACTACAGTCAAATTCTGCAACATCTTCCATCATTCATATCTAAATTTCCTCTACATTGGTAATGCAAGGATATCTTACTTTAAGATTAAATATTATGGTACAGTATTTTTCAATGTAGATTATATGCCATTCCATCCATATAGGAACCACTGTGATTTATTTAAAAAATGCCAGAGAATACAATATACAATGGAGAACTTGACAGGCTACATGTGAAATGTACTTCCCAGATTATTCTTGTAATAAATTAATTTATATCATGTGTCTGGAATACGTATTATAATAGCTATGCTTACGTTGGTCTTTTGCCTGACCTCTTGGTGATTTACAAAAGGGACTACCTGAAAAGTTATCATACAAACAGATATATTAAGTAGGCTTTATACAGTAGAATACCTGTATCCACTGATTCAGTATCTGCAGTTTCAGTTATCCATGTTTACTGTGGCCCAAAAATACCTCTTAATTTTGCATAATAATGGCCCCAAAGCACAAAAGTAGGGAAGTTGCCAGTTCTTCAAAGCCTAAGAGAAATCATAAAATGCTAATCATCAGTGAAAAAGTGATAATTCCCCACTTATTGTGCATAATTTATCAATATAGGGTTTGCTTCTATTCACAGTTTTGGTATCCACGGCAAGTCCTTGGAACATATCCCCCGCAGATATGGGGGTCCTACTGTATATACAATATAATTATGACAAAATTAATATAAATGCTCATATTTAAGGTAGGTTAAGAATTCTATAGATAAAGTGTATGTCTAAATGATAAAAATACCATGGGAACTTCAGTGGACTTAAAACATTTTAAGGAATTTTTGGGGTATCATTGGTTGTCATTATTATACGTCACTACTGAATATTTATGACTATGGTATATACAATACATAAATTTATTTAGGTACAGGTACATACAAGTACAGTTATACAAATTTTGGTGCCTACAATTATCATACAAAGTAACATGTGTGAAGTACCTAGGATAACCCAAGTCAGATAAAGTGACTTATTTCCGTGTGACTGACACATACCTCAGTATAAGACTGACTTAATTAACACACAGATATGGGCACACAAGTGATACTAAGCAACACTATACACACTGGTTGCAAATAGTATAGTACCACAAACAAGCTGTGAAAAAAAAAACTTGTGCATAGGTCAGGACATTCATTAAAAGAAATGTTTCACTGTGAGTGGCTTCATCAGTTCTATTGTAGAGCAAGCTAAAACAGGTTATTATATAGTGGACAATGTTGGGAACCAATAGTAATGGTGAGGCAAGGCAGGTGTACCTGATAGTCCGACTGATTTTCCACAACCTGGGCAGATGTATCTGATAGTCCAACTGATTTTCTACAACCTAGGCAGGTGTATCTGAGAGTCCAAAGTGACGTACCCCCTGGTCGCCAGCACAGTTCACTATAAAACCCTATCTTAGTTTACTGTATTCGAGTTGATGCAACTACTCATGGAAAAACATTTCCTTTAATTAATGTTCTCACCTCTACACAAGTTCCTTTTTCCACATGATACATTGTTAGCCTAGGCTAACAATGTATCATGCTTGTATTTGGGTCTTTAATTTGAATAGAATTTCCATAGATCCTCAATCAAACAAGGACCTCAGTGGAAATAAGTAACTTTGTCCAACTTTTTTGGGTTATCCTAGGTAATCTACACATGCCGATATATATGATTATTTATGTAACTGTATTTGTGTGTACCTGTACTTGAATAAACTTATCAAGTAAGGGGGATTACCAACAGACCCCTGGCAGTTTTCAAGCTGGCACTGGACAAGCACCTAAAGTCGGTTCCTGACCAGCCGGGCTGTGGCTCGTACGTTGGTTTGCGTGCAGCCAGCAGCAACAGCCTGGTTGATCAGGCTCTGATCCACCAGGAGGCCTGGTCACAGACTGGGCCGCGGGGGCGTTGACCCCCAGAACTCTCTCCAGGTAAACTCCAGGTAAGTAGGGTTTATTTTGTGACTTCTTTTAGGTTATCCCAGGTTCTCTACACATATGCTGCTATGTATGATAATCTATGTAACTGTATTTGTATATACCTGAATAAACTTAGTTAGGCACAGGTACACATTAAGTACAATTACCATACATGGTGTAAATTACCCAGGATACCTCCAAAGTTAGACAACCTGGAGTTTACCTGGAGAGAGTTCCGGGGGTCAACGCCCCCGCGGCCCGGTCTGTGACCAGGCCTCCTGGTGGATCAGAGCCTGATTAACCAGGCTGTTACTGCTGGCTGCACGCAAATCAACGTACGAGCCACAGCCCGGCTGGTCAGGTACTGACTTTAGGTGCTTGTCCAGACAAAGTGACTTATTTCCACTGGAGTCCTTAGCTTATTTACATTGAGTTTAGCAGCAGCATTATAATGTATTATTTTGAACATGAAGGCTTAAGGTAGTCTGAACTGCATTAAAATTTAATAGCCTCAGGGACTTGAAAGAGGAAAGTATTTTGGTTATTGGTAGAGTTTGTTTGTGATTATTATGAGAGCTATCTTATATTGAGTTATAATTGGTTTAATGTGTGTAGCCAAAGTAGATGAACGACCTTAACAATGGAGCAATAAACTATGATCTCCATAGCAAAATAAATTGTAAACATAATACAATATTTCCACCACTGGTCAGGCACTGCCATACACAGCTGCTGCAGCTGAAAGCCACTAATTTGGATGCTATAAATATCACGGCTTTCTTCATCTAGCTATATAATCACCATAGTATAGGAAGTAAGTGAAATATATCCAGTAATGGAGACAGAATAAGAAGAGTAGGTGATGCGAGAGGAAGACATCCCCCCCTAAGACCCTCCTGAAGGCCAGTGTAAACAAGCCTCATATACCCCACCCAGGGCACCTAACTACCCTCTACTCACCCATAAACCAAGTAATTAGTCTTCACTGTCTTGGGCCAAGAGAACTCCCCGAAGATGATGTTGTCTCCCTTAGTAATGATCTCCTTTTTGTTAACATTGTACTGGCGGAGGATACTGAGGGGGTCGGCCATGTTGAAAACACTCACTCAGCTACAACTTTTCCTCTCACTAAGAGATAAGATAATAAATATGTAAGTTTATTTAGGTTTAAGTATACATAAATAAATCCCCAGGCAATAATTCCATAAGGGAGGTGTGAGTAGATGAGCAATCCTAACAATGTAGTATTAAACCATGACCTCCATAGCCACATAATTTGTCAACATTATTTCCACCACTGGTCAAGTCCTATCATATAAATAAGTTTATTTAGGTGTAAGTACACATAAATACAACTATGCAAATTATCATACATAACAACATATGTGTAGATTACCTAGAATAACCCCCAAAAAAGTTAAAGTGGCTTATTTCCATTGGGGTCCTCGATTAAGTAAGTTTATTCATGTATAGATACACATAAATAGTTACATAGATTATTATACATAGCTGTGTGGATCTAACTTAGGATATGCCTTTTAGTGTGACTTATTTCCATTGGGAGCCCCTCATTGTTTGCGTCTTATTAGTGCGTGCACGAGCACGCAAGCAGGTACGGACACACGCACGCACGCAAGGAAGCAAGTACCAGTGCACGCAAACAAGCATCAACGCACTCAAAGTCAACAAGGAACCCAGCATGACGCACGCAAACAAGCACGAACGCACGGAAGTAAACAAGGATATCATCGCCAACGCATGCAAGTAAAAAATAGCACACGCAATCACCAACGCACGCACGTAAACAAGCACTAACACGCAAACAAGCACTAACACGCAAACAAGCACATACCCTAGCAGGTACACACGCAAACAAGCACACATCCTAGCAAGTAAACACGCAAACAAGCACACACCCTAGCAGGTAAACACGCAAACAAGCACACACACTATCAGGTAAACACGCAAACAAGCACACACACTATCAGGTAAACACGCAAACAAGCACACACCCTAGCAGGTAAACACGCAAACAGGCACACACCCTAGCAGATAAACACGCAAACAAGCACACACACTATCAGGTAAACACGCAAACAAGCACACACCCTAGCAGGTAGACACGCTAACAAGCACACACAACAGGCCTAGTGTCTAATCGACATGTGCCTAGGATAAAATGGTAACTAACACCCTAGCAGGTACACACGCAAACAAGCACACACCCTAGCAGGTACACACGCAAACAAGCACACACCCTAGCAGGTACACACGCAAACAAGCACACACCCTAGCAGGTACACACGCAAACAAGCACACACTCTAGCATGCACACACACACAAACAAGCACACATCCTAGCAGGTACACACGCAAACAAGCACATACCCTAGCAGGTACACACGCAAACAAGCACACACCCTAGCAGGTACACACGCAAACAAGCACACACCCTAGCATGTACACACGCAAACAAGCACACACCCTACCAGGTACACACGCAAACAAGCACACACCTTAAGATAAGATAAGATAAGATTTCGTTCGGATTTTTAACCCCGGAGGGTTAGCCACCCAGGATAACCCAAGAAAGTCAGTGCGTCATCGAGGACTGTCTAACTTATTTCCATTGGGGTCCTTAATCTTGTCCCCTATGATGCGACCCACACCAGTCGACTAACACCCAGGTACCTATTTGCTGCTAGGTGAACAGGACAACAGGTGTAAGGAAACGTGTCGAAATGTTTCCACCCGCCGGGAATCGAACCCGGGCCCTCCGTGTGTGAAGCGGGAGCTTTAGCCACCAGGCCACCGGGCCACCTTAGCAAGTACACACGCACGCATACATGCACCGTCACGCACACGCCACAAGAAGTTGGCCCATAAACTTGAGATACAAGCTGGGATACGTATGTAGGTGAGTGCACACGCACACACGCACGCGTATGCATGCATGCACACACTTCTTGTGCAGGCAAGAAAAACGGCAAAACAGAATACATTATTCATAACTGAGGGGACGAGGAACATGAAGGAAGAGGCTGACATTACTTGGGAACGACAATGGACGGCCTTATAAACGAACTGAGGGATTAATTTGAAGACAAGTTCAATTCAATTCGGAGAGGAACTGAGGCTTTGTCCAACAGAGATTGGGATAGGCTGTAGAAAAGGTAAATGCGACTAATATGGCCGAAAAAAAGAGCCCTTAAGCTGAAATTCTCAGGCATATTAGAACGCAGGCGGGAGAGGTACATGATTATATACACCTGGAAAATCTTAGAGGGATTAGTACCAAACTTGCACACGAAAATCACTCCCTATGAAAGCAAAAGACTCGGCAGGAGATGCAACATTCCTCTGATGAAAAGCAGGGGTCACTAGCACGATGAGAGACAACACAATAAGTGTGAAGGGTCCAAGACTGTCTCCCAGCATACATCAGGGGCATTACCAATAGACCCCTGGCTGTCTTCAAGCAGGCACTGGACAGGCACCTAAAGTCAGTGCCTGACCAGCCAGGCTGTGGGTCGTACGTAGGACTGCATGCAGCTAACAGTAACAGCCTGGTTGATCAGGCCCTGGTCCACCATGAGGCCTTTTGTCACAGATCGGGCCATGGGGGCGTTGACCCCTGGAGCTCTCTCCAGGTATACCCCAGTGGCTTTCTTTGTACTTAACAGTATTTTACAATATGTAAGTCACATTGTATACGTGGAACCTCAAAAATCGAACGTATCAAATGTCGAACGTTTCGAAAATAAGACCATTTTTTCGGACAAACTGTGTCCCTATTATCGAATGCGCCCCTAATTTCGGACCGCCAGGTACGGGACCTGTCTGCCAGCCCGCTCTGTCCGCGTCCCCGCGCAGGCGCCGTGAGCAGTCTAGCTTTGTTTATACTTGAGTGAACACTAACCTGCACTCTCATTCACACATTTTACGATTATTTCGTTGTGTTTAGTGCTTGTGGGACTGTGAAATAAGCTGCCATGGGCCCAAAGAAACCTGCTAGTGGTACCCCTGTGGTAAAGAAAGTGAGAAACACCATAGCTGTGAAGAAGGAAATAATACAGAAGTATGAGAGTAGTGTGAGACTTGTTGAGCTTGCCAGGATGTATGGGAAAAACAAGTCGACCATCGGTTCTATCCTGGCAAAGAAAGAACAAATCAAGGAAGCTGATGTTGCGAAAGGTGTTAATATGCTAACCAAAAAAAGACCACAAATAGTTGAAGAGGTTGAGAAGTTGTTGCTGGTGTGGATCAAGGATAAAGAGATTGCAGGTGATAGTGTTTCAGAGACGATTATTTGCGAAAAGGCAAGGAAGTTGCATGCCGATCTTGTACAGAAAACTCCTGGAACCAGTGCTGATAGTGAATTTAAGGCCACCAGAGGCTGGTTTGACAGATTTAAGAAGCGTAGTGGCATACACAATGTTGTAAGACATGGTGAGGCAGCCAGTTCAGACAAACGGGCGGCTGAGAAGTTTGTACAGGAGTTTAAGGGGTACATAGACAGTGAAGAATTCAAACATGAACAAGTGTTTAATTGTGACGAAACAGGCTTGTTTTGGAAGAAAATGCCAAAAAGGACCTTCATCACACAGGAGGAAAAGGCACTGCCAGGACACAAGCCTATGAAAGACAGGTCTTCTTCAAAGATTAAGGAGATTTGTGCCAAGTGGAATGATGTCCAAATGTTTGTGTAGAAGTACCACCCTGAGCAAGCTGAAACAAGCCATCTTTGCAACACGTTCAGTGACAGAACCATGTCCCATTTTAGGGAAATGTTAAAGAGGCGCCAGAAACAGAGGACTATGGACAGTTATTTTGTGAGACAGGGGTCCAGTGACTCTCAAGCTGGTCCTAGTGGCATTAAAAGACAGAGAAGGGAAGTAACCCCAGAGAGGGCTTTACCTGAAGTCCTCAGGGAGGGGGATTCTCCTTCCAAACACTAACCCCAACTCCCTCTCTCCTCCTCCCTATCTTCCAGATGCCATCACCAATCTTCAATAAAGGTAAGTAAAAATGTTATTTTATATGTATTACTATACATAATTAAAAACTACAGTATTTGTTGTATGTAAAACTGTAAATAATCTCTATAAAATGTATTTTTTGTGTGAATATTTTTGAGTTTCTGGAACGGATTAATTGTATTTCCATTATTTCTTATGGGAAATATTGCTTCGAATTTCAGACTTTTCGAAATTAGAACTAGCTCCTGGAACGGATTAAGTTCGATTTTTGAGGTTCCATGCAAAGAGATAAAATAATAATTTAATTTAATGGAAGGATACCGTGGAGGAAACGAGAGGGAGGATGGTAAGGGTGGAAAATGAAGGAGAGGGGACAGAGGGATCCAGAGAGGAAAATGAAGGAAAATCAGAGATGTTCTCTAAAGATATAAAGGACACCAACGGAAATAAGTCACTCTGACTTTTTGGGTTATCCCAGGTTCTCTACACATATGCTGCTATGTATGATAATCTATGTAACTGTATTTGTGTATACCTGAGTAAACTAAGGAGGTGATAAGCGAGACAGCAAGGAAACTGAAAACAGACAAAGAATTCTCGGGGAAGCTTTATAAAGCCGATAAAGCTACAACAGGAGTCGAACCTGCACACACTGCATCAAAGTACATAGTACTTTAGCCACACAACCAGACCCCAGAATAAGTATAGGTTCCTAAAGTCAGTTCCTGATCAGCCGGGCTGTGGCTCGTACGTTGGTTTGCGTGCAGCCAGCAGCAACAGCCTGGTTGATCAGGCGCTGATCCACCAGGAGGCCTGGTCACAGACCGGGCCGCGGGGGCGTTGACCCCCGAAACTCTCTCCAGGTAAACTCCAGGTATATTAAACTGCATCTGCCACTTCTCCGACCACTGCATCAGTCTATTCAAATCTTCCTGGAGTGCTCGAATGTCCTCGTCAGAATGAATTCGACGGCCTATTTTGGTGTCATCGGCAAACTTGCCGATGTCGCTCTTTATGCCCTCATCTATGTCGTTTATGTAGATTGTGAACAGCAGGGGGCCTAACACTGACCCCTGTGGAACACCGCTCGTAACGCTTCCCACTTTGATTTCTCCCCATTTATGCAAACTCTCTGCTGCCTATTTGTCAACCATATATATATATATATATATATATAAAATATATATAT